CAGTACGTGTCGAACTGCTTCCCTATACTCAATTCTCATTCCGATTCGTAGAATTTTCTTCTACTTCGATAACAACGAACAAGGACGAGTCACAAATCCCTAAAATACAAAGTTGAACTTCTTTCTGTCTATTATTTTACTTTTTAGTCCCTCAAGTTATTATTAATTCAAATTTTGTAGGTCCAATATTTTTTCCTTTATTTCTATTACTAATTTCTCAAGTCCATCCTTTAGTGACTCGTCCTTGTTCTCATCATTTTTTAAATTCTCCTAACATTGGAGTTTACATGTATCAACATGATAAAGATGAGTCACGTTTTATTTGCTGTATCTAACATTGGAGTTTACATGTGTATCAACATGATAAAGATGAGAACAAAATCATAAAGAAGAGTCACTTTTTATTTGCTGTATCTAACACCTTTACACCTAGCGATGAGACAACAATTATTCAACTAAAGTCTTTTTTCTTTTTAACCAAATACAAGTATTCAATATTCTCCTTTATACAACATTGAAAGNAAAAAAAAAAAGTTAGTAGCCTCACCGATTCGTGATCAAACTTCGACTACATTGGAACATTTATTTTCTAAATTACCAACTTTTAATTAGACTATCAAAAGATTTAAAATTCTAAAAACATATATTATTCATTTTCAAAGATGGTAGTCTAGTCTTTGTTTCAAAGAGCAGGAAACATCAAAAATGTCAAATATAGATGAAAACCCTATACTAATAATATGCTCTGCCCTTTTGTGTATGACACAATTACAAAATTAAGAGAAAAATAACATACATTCAACAACAAAAATATGCAGATAACGATTATTGAGATTTTTACTTATTCCGAAACTTAGGTAAATTAACATATTGAAATTGATTTCACAAGTTTAACATAAAATACTAGTAGATTTTATAGCATAAGATAGCATCGGTAAGATTTGAAAAACGGAACATAGCAAATAGCCAAGGCATTAAACATTCACTCTTCTTCGTTTTTAGGGATAATCATGAACATCCTCTCGTCCTCCTCCTTCTCCATTTCTTCTTTGTGTTTCTACAATATTTTAGCATCAACGAAAGTGAGTAGTAAAACCAGAATCTCCTTGAGACAGTTTCAACCATGTTAAAGACTTACCTTTCTAGCCAAATTTCTCAATTCTTGGAAATGCATTTGCACCAAAGTCAGTTCGTCTAACTTCTTTTTCAGTCGAAGTTCTTCCTTCTCCGCCTTCAACCTTTGCTTGCGGTTTTGCTACAAGCATACACCAAAGTGAGTAGTAAAACCAGAATCTCATTAAGACAATTTCAACCATATTAAAGACTTACTTTCTCTGATTGATTCACCTTCTTTACTTCATCTTTGTTCTTCGCCTTCAACATTAACTTCTTTACTTCCTTCAACATTGGCTTGCGTGAAGCATCTTTCTCACTAGGTCCTGAAACCACTATGTTCTTCCCCTTCAGCATTGGCTTCCGGGAAGCATCTTTCTCACTAGGTCCCCTCTTCGCCTTCAACTTTTGCTTGCCGACCTCATCTGATTGCTTCACCTGATCTACTTTAACTATGTTCTTTGCCTTCAGCATTGGCTTGGCATGGGGTGCTCCCAGGAAGCATCTTCCTCACTAGGTCCTGAAACCGCAACCGGGCCGTCCAGTTCTATGACTTGCAGAAGGTCTGCGAGGCTCACTTCGTCTAGGTCGTCCAGTAATTCCTGGTAGGTTTCAAACTCATCGAGAGGGACGCAAGAACATCCAGCCAACTGTGGTTACAATAGGAAAAGTGTGAGCACGATGATTACCAGAGGAGAGGAGAGAGATAGGGAGATACTTACCCGATCTTCATGAGCATATTCATATAGATGATAGGCAAAATCAGGATAGGTATCACAACCAAACTTGCATACTCTGCAAAACCAGCGAGGTTGAGAGCTGTCAACGAGCATCCGGCTGGGTGTCTTGAGATCAGGAGTCTCTATGG